AAGCGAGCGTGCACAGGAACATTTAAAAGGTGGGCCTGACAATCTGTTCATCTGTCTTAGCTTCACTGTATCAGATTGTCACTTGGATAAATATGTTGTAACTTTTGATGGAGTTTCCACACATTACAGATATAGTGTTGTGAGTTGTTACACATGTCTGGAGCTCCATGAATCCTCGAGTTTCTGTGTTTTGTCTGTGTGAAGATTTGATTATCAGAAAATCAATATTGATCACAAAACGTCTTCACTCATATACCACAGAGAAAATCACAGCACTGATTTGAAAGCAGAAACAAGAAGATAGTTTTTTTTTTCATAAAGCCTGAAGTTATTTTGAATAATGTCTTAATTTATTTTGAATATATTTTTAATCTATTTTTAATATAGTTCTGAGTTATTTTTAATATAATCTTAACTTACTTTGAATAAAGTCTTAATTTATTTGGAATATATTCTTAATTTATTTTGAATAACATTTTAAATTATTTTGGATATATTTCGAAGTTATTTTGAATATATAGTTCTTAGAAAAAACATGCGTATCCTGTAATTATCTGAGCTAATAACAGATTTCATTATTTATTTAATTTAAATGCATCCACTGCGATTTGAGTCCAGAGTCTCTACAACCGTACACTCAACCATGCTAAAGAGAAAATCTCACCTAAGCTAGTAGGTAAATTGTGTTAATTACACTTTCATACTTTCCCTCATTGAAAGAGCTTGTCATTGAGTTTCCAGAGGTTGCAGCGATGTTTATGGGGCATGTATGGCTTAGTGCACTTGTGTGGCTCAATGTTGGAGACCAATGTAACAGATTTCCTATCTATTTCAGTTGGATTTGAACCCATGACCTCTGGTCTACTTGTCTTACGCTCAACCAAGGAGCTAAAAAGAACATCTCTCTAGCTGAGCAGAATATTACAGCTAGTATTTTCCAGGGTCAGATCATTGATTTTATATACAATTATATTTTTTAAATCTTTGTATGTGTGAATGTTGATGGTGAAGATGCCTCAGTCAACAGTTGTCTATATATATATATCAGTGTTTTCTTAAAGATAGAATTTAATGTAAAATATTTGTATTACGATCTTGATGGGACTCAAGGAATTTCTAGAAATACTTAAAATTTTATATTGTGGGACCCATTCATTTTTTTAGCTCTAAAGCTGGAAAAGACTCATGAAAATAGGTTGCAGATTAATCACATATAATTAAATCATATAGTAAGTATTAATTCAATACTTCTGAAGAAAACATATCAGTGTAATATTCATTTTATAGCAAAATATAAATTTTTCATACATTCATGTATCAACTTCTGTCACTTGCCGTAATGTTCGTCTTGAATGGTCACATGGTGGTAACACACTCACTTTTCACCTAGTTGTCAGCTTGGGCAAGACACTTTTGGACCTGACTAATGCTGACCTCCTGTATGTTGTTCAGTATGGTAGTCACCAGATTCTTACTGAGACTTTGCTTCATAATGATGTGACACTGGCTTTTCATTGGATAATGATGCTTTGAAGTGTAAATATTTGTTTATATTTAGATCTGCCTACATTACCTATAGTACCTGTAATATGATAACGAAGGCTGTCTGTGCACACCTGTGACAACTTATACAGGTGAGACATTTCCACCAGCTGTTGAGGTATTTTTAACATGTTTGACAGGTAATGTAGAATTCATCTGCTTGAGATGACCAGTTCTATAGTATGCTGGTATTCTTTAGTAAAAATTGTGATCACATGATCGATATATATGATACGTACACTGTGTTTTTTTCTTATTAGTTGCGATTCCACATATTTAACATACTAAGAATTTGAAAGCTAATTCAACATTTCATTTCTGCTTAAGAGACGAATAGCTTTAGTATTTCATAAAATTAAACAATTACCTTGGACTGTTGTTGTAGAAAGTCGTTGTTGTCATCTGTGTGTATTGTATGTTAGCTGTTTTCTGTTCCTTGTCTGATCTGGCCGGAGTTTCTTCATTCGTGAAAAAGAAAAACAAGAATTTGTTATTATCAGTATTGTGGCTATGGAATGACAAGAAGAAAGGTGTTGGACATTTTGTCATTGTTGTCAGTACATCAACTCTAAAATGAGATCATTTGAAAAAAAAAGGCACAAAAGTGACAAACAGTTTGCACAGTACATTATATTACACATTGAACAATGTAGGCCTAAAATTATATAAATAGATAAATAAATAAATAAGAAAACGAAGGATACTTTTGATATTTATGTCAATGGTGAGTTATACATGTATACACCGATGACGATATTGCCAAAATTACGGATAAAACTACATCAGTATTGTTTCCAGGAAATTACATTGGTTAGAATCACTAACAATGTCTGCAGAGATCCGAGATCATTTATCATGCAGATAATTAACCAGTGTTGATCAAAGAATAAATAAAAAAAAAAAATTAGAAACAGAAAGTTAACCTATAAATAGAAAGTGAAGATTGAGTAGTTATTTACAAGTGATAAAAAGGTAGAAACAGACTGAAAAACAAAGCAAAATTTTGTCCAAGGAATTGAAATAAGAACAAAACCTATGGAGAGAGGTGTTGCACGACCTAGTATTAAGCAGTGAAAATCTTTAGCCCTGCAAGCTGTCTATACCATCAGTGAAACAGATCAAGTAGTGATATGGTTATTTCAATATTGATTAGATACCATTAAATTGATTAACTTCAATTACTGAATTAATTTCATGTTTTTCATAATTAATGTTATGGTTGGCAATTGATAGGGTTATATATGTACCTGCTAGAGGCTATATTGTGTATTATAGATATTGATATAGTTTCAATTCTAAGTAAATTAATCACCAGTTTTTAATGCTTGGGGAATAACATTTGATCAATATCGATGCCTTCAGTTCTTCATTTATTTTCTAGAGTTATTTCCCCTTGAACAGACAGGGTTGTATTGAGACAAGGTCTCCTTGAAGTAGCTGGTGGTAATCTTACTGAACAACACACTGGAGACCCATCACTTACTTTCCAAACCTATTGGGTCTTTTAAACTTAATGTTGGGCTGACAGATATATTCTTATTGATCTGTTAATTAGTTGTTTTAATGGTGAAAGATTTAGTGATATGTGACGTGTGGATCATTTCAGATAAACTTTACCACCTAGCAGTTAGTAATTTTCCCAGTGTGGTATGTTTTCCGTTCTGATATAAACAAGATAACATACTGAAAACATGGGAAAACTTTCCCCAAAACAAAGCTGATTAGTATTTTTTTATAATTTTTAAATCATCCAATTATGAAAAAATATCAATCCAACCCAAACATCATCATCGTCTTATTTATGTCATGTTTTTACCCTATTCCTCATTTTAATTCTGACCAAAGCGTCTGTCGAAAATTTCTTGGTTTTTCTAAAAAAAAAAAAACATTCAGAAGTTCCCCTTTTTTAATCAATGGGTAGCATTTGCCATGTTCTAGACTAACCAGGGCTGTCCAGAAATTCTCCATTTCTAAAAATAGGCCAAAAGTTACCTCTTTTCCACTATCCATAGCATTCCCTATATCCTTTATGTGGATTGCAATTAGGACAGAGACAGAACATATTGTATTCTAATTAATTAATTCATCATTTTATGGTATGTCAGCTGTTACCATTACATAAAAGTAAGTTGAGACAAGAAATGTTGTAAAAAAACCTTATATCCGATACTTGCAGGCTTTGAAAATATTTTCCTGTGTTCACATGAAACAATGTAGATATTTATTATATACATATAATTGACCTTTTTTTGGTAAATTTTTGATATGCCAGCAATTTTCAGATTAGTGAGATATTTTACTGGAACAATCTTGTAGCCTAAATTTTCAGTAATGCAGATGAATTTATTTATGATATTTGAAAAATAAATGCACCAGAAAAATTCTTTTCACAGTCTGATTTTCCCTTTTTTTCAATAAATGTTTACATGTTACAGATCAGTCACCTGTCAGCGAAGTCATAATGATATAACTCTCCACCTGTCTGTGCTTTATAGACCTGAGTGTTCATCTATCCCCGAGACTGTTATTGTGTTCAACATTGAAGTCATGCTAATCAGGCCAAGGATATATAAATATCTGTTTAATGTCTCGAGTATGAAAATACATGTCTTATGTTTTAAGGACAGGCAGATATGATTATTTTGACAACAAAAAAAATGTTATGTAGCTAGGTAATATCTAAAGTTCTATTAGAGTCATGAGAAGGGACTCAATGTTTTGTAGATATGTGGGGAATTCCAACATTTTTACACTATTAACAAGTGTAAACTTTGAGTTTAGTATAATCGGCCATAGTTGAGCTTTGGTTCAGGTCTAAATTCTAAATTTGCTACATTAATCCTCCAATGAACAGCAAAATTCATCAATTCACAAGATTGAAATGTCTTCCCTGGGGACACAACCTGTGTTTTCCAGAATAATATATGATAATATAAGTAGGGTGTCTTTTCAAGGGACACGACATGTTGGACACCTGCCACATGCTCTCCAGAATAATTCATAATGATATGATCAAGATGTCTTTTCCAGGGACAACATGTAAGATGCTCACCACGTGCTGATTGGAGAAATTTGTTTACTTATTATGTCTTTTCCAAAGATACAACTACCAGTATGAAAGTACAGTCTTGTCTGTGATATTAGCCTTTTGAAAATCACAAACCTCCCCAGAATGGGATCTGGGGCGATACAGTTTTCTCAGGAAGCTTGAACCTGCATCATTAATATCCTATCTGTTTACATGAGTGATCCCATGTTATGGAATAAAGGTTGCCCCAGAGGAGGATTCGGAAGTAAAGTATTTTGCACTGCAGGCTGTTTGCTGGATAATATTGTATTCTTTCCATTTTAAGCCAAATTAGATTTCAATGAAATATTTTTTACAATGAAAAACAAACATTACCCTTGTATCGGCCTGATTCCGACCTAATTCAGGGCATGTATTTTTGTTTGTGAAGGTAATTTCCATGTAGACCACGGAGAAGATTTCACACGTATCTGTGGATCTCTAGGAAACATTCTGGAATTATCAGACAGACATTACACGGAACATTTCCTACAGGTGTTTAGCATAGAGGTTCCTGGTTTTATCTGTCTCCAGGTTCCAAGGAATCTTGACTGGATCTGACACCAGGAACAATTGTCTAGTATCCTGGTAAGTGAATTCACATCTATACATATGGTAATGATTCATTTATTTTTTTTACAAATAAAAATTAAATTTTATGGATCTTCGAATGTAAATTTGAAGATAAGATTTCACACCAAATACTGCCAGATATTATAGCTGTTATAGGATATTTTTAAATGTATATATAGAGTTACTTTCCATTGATGTGAAAATCTTTTATCAGCTGGGTATAAAAGGACCTCACATGAATGAGTTTAAATCAAATTAAATTAATTAAATGAAAAAATGATTTTAATCAATTTCATTAAAAGAATACAGAATCGGTTTATTACATAAGCCCATCCCCTGACTTTGAGTAAGAAGTAATGTGTTGGCCCAAGGGTCCTGTAATAAGCCCACCACCTGACTTTGAGTAAGAAGTAATGTGTTGGCCCAAGGGTCCTGTAATAAGCCCACCCCCTGATTTGAACAATAAGTAATGTGTTGACCTCTGGGCTCCTTTAATAAGCCCATCCCTGACTTTGAATTAGAAGAAATGTGTTGACTCCTGGGTCCTGTAATAAGCCCACCCCTGACTTTAATTGAGAAGATATGCTTCAACCCAATGAGTTAATCTTTAGTACAAATAAGGTACATTTATCAAGGCACATTCCAACACGGAATGATTCATCTGACAAGAGAAACATGACTGTCAACAGGATATTGTAATGTGATACTGACTGTACCTGGCTGCAGACTATCAACAGGATATTGTAATGTGATACTGACTGTACCTGGCTGCAGACTATCAACAGGATATTGTAATGTGATACTGACTGTACCTGGCTGCAGACTATCAACAGGATATTGTAATGTGATACTGACTGTACCTGGCTGCAGACTATCAACAGGATATTGTAATGTGATACTGACTGTACCTGGTGGAGACTATCAACAGGATATTGTAATGTGATACTGACTGTACCTGGCTGCAGACTATCAACAAGATATTGTAATGTGATACTGACTGTACCTGGCTGCAGACTATCAACAGGATATTGTAATGTGATACTGACTGTACCTGCTATTTTAGACTATCAACAGGATATTGTAATGTGATGCTGACTGTACCTGGCTGCAGACTATCAACAGGATATTGTAATGTGATGCTGACTGTACCTGGCTGCAGACTATCAACAGGATATTGTAATGTGATGCTGACTGTACCTGGCTGCAGACTATCAACAGGATATTGTAATGTGATGCTGACTGAACCTGGCTGCAGACTATCAACAGGATATTGTAATGTGATGCTGACTGTACCTGGCTGCAGACTATCAACAGGATATTGTAATGTGATGCTGACTGTACCTGGCTGCAGACTATCAAAAGGATATTGTAATGTGATGCTGACTGTACCTGGCTGCAGACTATCAACAGGATATTGTAATGTGATGCTGACTGTACCTGGCTGCAGACTATCAACAGGATATTGTAATGTGATGCTGACTGTACCTGGCTGCAGACTATCAACAGGATATTGTAATGTGATGCTGACTGTACCTGGCTGCAGACTATCAACAGGATATTGTAATGTGATGCTGACTGTACCTGGCTGCAGGCTATCAACAGGATATTGTAATGTGATGCTGACTGTACCTGGCTGCAGATGACGTATGTTACACTTGCATTTAATGCTGGAGATCATTTTTATCACCTATTGAAACAATTTACAGGCAGAAATATTGCTTTGATGAGAGAGGTCGGAAGTAAATTAGAAAGGCTGATGATGATGTGGATGTTGTTTACCTTGTCTGTTCATAACTAACCAGGGATGGCTTTATACGATGTAGTCATTCTAGCATGTTTCTGATTGATAAAGTTGTACATCTATTGCTATTTTAGTGTAATTTCTGATCAAAAGAAATCAGACTAAATGGAAATGATAGATATAGCAGCTTTTTTATACTCTGTCTGTCCGTTCATCTGTTCGTCCATATGTCCATCTTTCTATTAATATCAAGGTGGTTAACATACCAGAAAATGTCTGTGCTTGATTTGTGAGTTAAGATATCCGTTAATACCATTACAGCATGAAAGTTTACCTAGACAGTAAATACAAGAAAAAATTGTCCCCTCCCTTGAAATCCTTTTGTTTTAGTTAAATTTCATTTGAAGAAAATATCTTCGACATTTCCAGAGAGGATCTTTTGTTTGAAGTATAGCTGATATATTAACATTTTTGTAATGACAAGTTGATGATATCATTGTAAATATGGAAGATTTGTGTTCATACTGTCTTTAAAGATATTGACTGAAAAGGACCCAGTTATTTTCAGGAAGCTCACTCTTTATCAAACTTAATGGAAGGACCTCATTTAACAAGAAAAGGAATTAATTGATTGGTTACCCATCTCAGACTCTGTAGATGTAGAGATATCTTACAAATTTCACGTCAGGGCCTGTAAAATGTAATTAGGCATAACAAAAAAACAGGGTTTCCTTACACACTCTAATTTTATCTAAACTCTGAACTTTTTATGATAGATCTGAGGAAAGCACTGGAAATCAGGATTTCTTAATTAACCCTGATAAAAGATTTGTTTTTTAGTTATTTCAAGCATGTAACATGGAAACATGTCTGAGATTGGACAGAAATTTTTTATATAAGAGTGTTGTTCTCTTTGTATCACGCTGAATCACAGAATTAAAGCAGGAGCCATTCATTCAAAACATTGGCCGGATCATGATCAGCTAAACAAAGGAGTATCTTGCCTTCATTGTAAACAAAAAAGAACAAAGCTCCGTAAAATTGATTCGGAGTATTTTAAATCTGACTAATTGTTTGGAATCGAAATCGGCCGTTGCTCTGATTGATTTTAGAGGGTATCTTGTCAGCGAAATATTCTGAGGCCAAACCAACTTGTATCAGTGTTTTTAGTACTTCAAAGTCAATTCCATTAATATATTAAGCCTAGAGAGATTAATACATGTTTTTCCTTTAAGTGGATACTGCAAATATACCCGTTTTTTGTGTAGTCTTATTTTACTATGAAAGTACAGCTTACAGCTGATGTGAAAAGTTTATTTGTGGTCACCACTGTGCTCAAATACATGAAACCCCAGGTACTCCAGTTTTCTCCCAAAGTAAGACACCTCTCACACTTCCATTTAGGCCAAGAAGAGAGATAAATACAGGCTGATAGCTTGTTTCACAATTGTTGATTAAAATCAAGTTTATATCAATAATACAGTGTATGATTGTTCCTACTGTCTGTGTTATATTGCAATAATTACACTTTTCCCAGGGACCCTTAAATTTAATGAACGGATAAGTACAGGGACTCAAATCACACTAAATATATAGTAACTAGCGTTTTCCATAATTTTGTTAGTAGTAGGCTGTGTAGTGAAAGTAGAAGGCTGGCCTGCCGTGTACGTGTAGTCGTGTACGGAACATTATTACGGAACTGGATTGGTGTAGGCGGCCAAATGATCAAAGTAGCTGGTCAAATTGGCCGGCGGCCGGCTCTTTTGGAAAACCCTGAGTAACACAGCATCAATATTGTCCTTCATCAATTTAATGAGTCTAAATACAGGTTTATGAAAATTGAGGGAAAACCTGATTATTTGACTGCAAATTTATCATTATGCTAGTTTGCCTAAAAGTGAAAAATGTGTTGAAAATTTCATCAAGTTTTCAATAGTTTTCATATAATCAGGGTTATCCCTGACTCATTAAAACTTTCATTTTGACTCATTAAATTGACAAAGGGACACCCCAAACTTCACAAGTTTTATTCTATTCCTTATGATGAGTCCCCAGACAATAACAATTCATGAATATCAGGATTCCAGAGAAAATTGGGACAACATGTGAACAGTGCAAATATAACTAATATTGATGTATCTTTATGCAGTTGATATTTAAAGGCCAGTAGACCAAACCATTACATCTGACTCACAAGAAGAAGATTGGCTAATCATAGGGCCCAAACATAGCATTGTGGGTACTGCTACTGGTATACTGAACAGTTAAGATGTCGGTGGGTCACTATTATCAGGCATAGACTTATCGTCAGATAAACTAGATTTATTGCATTTTAAGTGAGAATGTCACCTGCTTGTAGTATTTAATGTATGATATAACCTGTCCTCTAAGAAAACTGATCAAAAATATTTTCATAAATTTTCTTTTAAAAGTTTATAAATCTATTTACATGTAAACACAAATTTAGGAAAGGAAAGAAACCACTTTTGTTGAAAAATTTCCTTAAATTCAGAAAAAAAAAAAAAATCTTGTATAAATTCAAGATATATCTGGATCTGTATGATACATAGTGATACAATATGAATGGAGGGTGATATTACCTGAGGGATTACTTCTACAGAGAAACTAAATAGGTATATAAATCCTCCTTCCCACACCCATTCCTGCCCTCAATAAGGGCACCAGGGTAAACTGATTACATTAGAGAGTAGACCAGCCTCTATACATTATAGCTCCATGTGATCCTTGATAGAATATTGGGTTAATATTGATCTCAGTCATAGTATGTCGCAATAGCTGAAAAATTGCCATCATTCCAGCTGACATGATACAACAGATATAGGTAGTAGATCCAACGCTGTTCATCTGGTTCGGGTGGATAATAGGTTTCCTTACTCTTCATTTGGTACCCCTTTTCCCTGCCAAACTGCAGAAAATAACTCAGTTCCAAAGCCGGAAAATCCAGAAAAATGTCCGGAATTAATCCATAATAGGAGGTGCACATCTTCAACATGTATATAAACATCCTACAAAATTTCAAGCTTCTACGTCAAAAACTCTAGGAGGAGTGATTCTACAAAACTGGTACCCCTTTTCCCTGCCAAACTGCGGAAAATAACTCAGTTCCAAAGCCGGAAAATCAACATGTATATAAACATCCTACAAAATTTCAAGCTTCTACGTTTAAAACTTTAGGAGGAGTTGATTCTACAAAACTGGTACCCCTTTTCCCTGCCAAACTGCGGAAAATAATTAATCCATAATAGGAGGTGCACATCTTCAACATGTATATAAACATCCTACAAAATTTCAAGCTTCTACGTTAAAAACTTTAGGAGGAGTTGATTCTACAAAACTGGTACCCCTTTTCCCCGCCCGCCCGACATTCACCATATTATAACCTGGATTTGCACTATGTGCAACCTGGCTAATAATGGCCATCATTACCGCCGTAATACAACAGACATAGGTAGTAGATCCAACGCTGTTCATTCTGGTTTGGGTGGATATCCCTGACTCTCCAGCTGGAAAAAATCAAGTATGGAGTATCATCACAATCAGAGTAGCTTCATTAGATATATATCGGTAAACGTCAATAGGTTTCGCCATCTCTGGGCTTCATCAGGACCCAATGAAGCCAGGGTAGGTGAAACTGGTTGATGGTTCCTAATGAATTTAAAGAACCTATTCAGGGCTCTCACACCCCATTTTGGGACTGGGGCCTGCGGCCCTTAGAATTGGGAAAAATAATGGTGTTTTCCTTAGAATTGGGAAAAATAATCATGTTTTCCTAAGAATTGGGAAAACTTGGGGTCTAAATTGCCCAAATCTGGCAGATCGAAAGCACTGCTATTGTTATGATTGATTCTCCATACTTTTCTACTGCTCAATCACTCCACATAATATATACAAAGGACTACATCAGGTATACATGTGTCTATACATGTTATTTCACTCTGTATGACATCAATAGTTTTTGTTTTGTGAAACAGACAAAATTATCAGGATAAGTTTTTAAGCTCAAGCTGTTGCCAATTTTTATTGTAGCTTTGCTGTAAAACACTGTCTGCTCCGTTAACAAAGGTTTCAATGTGAGAATAGGATCTGTGCTGTTCAGATTTTTTTTAACCTGAATATAATAACAAATGACAGAAGTCACATGACCAGATCATTACAAAATGTTCTGCATTATATGATGAGTCTGTCTTCACTGGAAGTAATTCACATGCATGTTTGCCTTATATTTCCTATAGGACTATAAACACAGAGACCAACACAACAATTCTGGTCTGATGTTAGATGGTGGGCTTATTACTTGATAAAAGCCTAGATGTCTAAGATACAAATTCTAACACAAAGACAATGTGCTGTATACCAAATTCACGACCCACAACCTGTTAATTACAGAGTCATTGCCCTTTTGTTAAAAACATTTTTTCTAGAAATTGCTTGCATTCAAACTAGAATAATGAAACTAGGTGGATACATTGATCATACTAAGACAATGTGCTGTGTACCAAATTCAGTGACCTTGACCCCTCACTTACAAAGTTATCTCCCTTTGTTAAAAATTTCATGTCTGGAACATAACTTACAAAGTTATCCCCCTTTGTTAAAAATTTCATATCCGGAACATGACTTTGCCTGAAGTTAAGCAAGGGTCATGAAACTTGGTGTATACATTGGTCATATGAAGACAATGGGCGATGTACCAATGTTAGGTCACATAACCCCTTAATTACAGAGTAATTGCCCTTTGTTAAAATTTGTGTCTGGAGCATTACTTAAATACTTGGATATCGAAAGGTGTCCGATGTATACATCAGTCGTACCAAAGCATTGTGGTGTGTAGCAATACCCATGACCCCCTCTGTAAAGAGTTATCACCCTTTGTTAAAATTTGATTCATGAATGTAGCTTTGTTTGCATTAAAACTAGAAGCATGAAACTTGGTGTATACATTGGTCATACTTAAAGAATGTGTCTATACCAAATTCAGGGTCTGAATCCCCTTAATTACAGAATTATTGCCCTGTGGTAAAATTTTGTGTTCAACAAAGTCATTTTCAAGGAGCATTCATCAGTGTCACTGATACTCTTGTTATGCTTTGTTTAGGAGGATATGTAGATAGGCTTATTCTTTATTAGGCTTATTGCTGGATATCGAATGGGAAAACAGACAGTAATTCTGTACTTTGGTAAACTGGATATCATGTTTAATCTATTTATCTTCTGTTGCTAGGTAACCACAGATGGGCGACTCGACGCCAACCCACTCGGGTACAGCCAATGCCTCCGAGTATGATTACCTCATTAAATTTCTGGCACTAGGTAAGTCTGGTTCCCAAAGTAAGCAAAGGGTTATTGAATATTTAATATATCCTTTGGAAGTAATTTATAGTCTGTTTCATTATTAGAAAGTGATTTATAGTCTATTTTATTTTTTCTGTGAAGAAACAGTAAACATGCAATTGTAAGTTGTGTTATATGCTTGTGTCCAGTAATATAGAACTAACATTGAGACGTGACAACAAATCCAATGTCATTGTCAATAACCGTCACTACTTTTCTTTAGTGGGACCACAATAGCTCAGTCAATCACATATTTACCTCAGGTGAGGATCCTAGGTTCATGGTCCAACACTCCCTTCCTGGGGCAAAGCACTTTACCATAATTGCTGCAGATGACATGTGATGGCCTCCTGTAAGTTGTTCATTGAGGTAGCCACCAGCTTATTCAAGGCAACCCCGCCTTGAAATTACCCTTGCTGTTCAGTTGCAATAACTCAGTAAAAGTCTAGTGTTATATCCTGTCAAGTTCATTAAAATGGAAAATGAAATAACCATATATGACAATCTTCAGAAGTTGGTCAACACATGGACCTAAAAAGAACTTTTTATGGCATATGACATTATTAAGTAGGACTCATTTACTGCCTGTCTTCCTCTCTCTCTCTCTCTCTCTCTCTCTCTCTCTCTCTCTCTCTCTCTCTCTCTCTCTCTCTCTCTCTCTCTCTCTCTCTCTCTCTCTCTCTCTCTCTCTCTCTCTCTGTGTGTGTCTCTCTCTCTCCCTCTCTCTCTCTCTCTCTCTCTCTCTCTCTCTCTCTCTCTCTCTCTCTCTCTCTCTCTCTCTCTCTCTCTCTCTCTCTCTCTCTCTCTCTCTCTCTCTCTCTCTCTCTTCCCTCCCTCTCCCTCCCTCTCCCTCTCCCTCTCTCTCTCTCTCTCTTTTCCCTCCTCTTCTCTGTCTTTCTCTCTGTCTCTATTTGTCTCTCTCTCTCTCTCTCTTTCTCTCTCTTTAACTTTTTTAACTTTGTTATTGTTATTTTTAAGGGAAAAAAATGTAACTCTTCTCCTGAGAATTTGATGAAAAGTAAAAACTTGTCTTTATTTATTGTGAACAATAACCCCACTAACCATTTACATTGTATAACATGTAATAGAGGGTCCTATGTGTGACGTCCATTTGTTATATCACCACAGCAACACTAATGGAAGGTGGCCAAATGGAAAGCTGTTTTTTATTAAGACTGACAGCACAACGAGATAGACAATAGGTGGATAAAAGGTTCAGTGGTCATTTCTTTGGTGACCGCACAGTCAACTGTCAGCAGTCGTTGGAAAATAGGATGTCATTTGATCTCTACCACGGAAGTAGTAATGTTGGCTGTATGTTGTGCACTTAAAAGAATGACCTTGTATTGTTCATTTCGTGACATTCTTATTTCTCAAGGAAGAAAGTAGATTTACAACATCACTGGTCTATGACTGTTTTAGGAGGAATATTTGATAGAAATTAGGAAATAGTTGCCTTGGTGATGGGGCATTCGTGTCTTACAGATAATTTCTAGTCTTTAAATAAGTCCCAGAATTTATACAAAATACACTGAATTATTTTGTGGACTTGTCACCCTTAAATCCTGATTATAATAATCCATAAATCATAAGCCAAACAGTCAACATCAAAGTCGGGGGGTGGGCTTATTACAGGACCCCAGGAGTAAACACATTTCTTCTTACTCAAGTCAGGGGTTTGGCTTATTACAGAACCCCAGGAGTAAACACATTTCTTCTTACTCAAAGTCAGGGGGTGGGCTTATTACAGGACCCCAGGAGTAAACACATTTCTTCTTACTCAAGTCAGGGGGTGGGCTTATTACAGGACCCCAGGAGTAAACACATTTCTTCTTACTCAAAGTCAGGGGTTGGGCTTATTACAGGACCCCAGGAGTAAACACATTTCTTCTTACTCAAGTCAGGGGTTTGGCTTATTACAGGACCCCAGGAGTAAACACATTTCTTCTTACTCAAAGTCAGGGGTTTGGCTTATTACAGGACCCCAGGAGTAAACACATTTCTTCTTACTCAAGTCAGGGGTTTGGCTTATTACAGGACTCCAGGAGTAAACACATTTCTTCTTACTCAAAGTCAGGGGGTGGGCTTATTACAGGACCCCAGGAGTAAACACATTTCTTCTTACTCAAGTCAGGGGTTTGGCTTATTACAGGACTCCAGGAGTAAACACATTTCTTCTTACTCAAAGTCAGGGGTTGGGCTTATTACAGGACCCCAGGAGTAAACACATTTCTTCTTACTCAAAGTCAGGGGGTGGGCTTATTACAGGACCCCAGGAGTAAACACATTTCTTCTTACTCAAGTCAGGGGTTTGGCTTATTACAGGACCCCAGGAGTAAACACATTTCTTCTTACTCAAAGTCAGGGGTTTGGCTTATTATAGGACCCCAGGAGTAAACACATTTCTTCTTACTCAAAGTCAGGGGGTGGGCTTATTACAGGACCCCAGGAGTAAACACATTTCTTCTTACTCAAAGTCAGGGGGTGGGCTTATTACAGGACCCCAGGAGTAAACACATTTCTTCTTACTCAAAGTCAGGGGTGGGTTTATTACAGGACCCCCAGAGGGCCAACACATGACTTCTTACTCAAAGTCAGGGGGTGGGTTTATTACAGGACCCCAGGAGTAAACACATTTCTTCTTACTCAAAGTCAGGGGTTGGGCTTATTACAGGACCCCAGTAGTCAACACATTTCTTCTTACTCAAAGTCAGGGGTTGGGCTTATTACAGGACCCCAGTAGTCAACACATTTCTTCTTACTCAAAGTCAGGGGTTGGGCTTATTACAGGACCCCAGGAGTAAACACATTTCTTCTTACTCAAAGTCAGGGGGTGGGCTTATTACAGGACCCCAGGAGTAAACACATTTCTTCTTACTCAAGTCAGGGGTTTGGCTTATTACAGGACCCCAGGAGTAAACACATTTCTCCTTACTCAAAGTCAGGGGGTGGGCTTATTACAGGTTGTATAAAGTTGATATAACAAATATTGAATAACATTGACATGAAGAACTAAGTAATGTAGGGTGGTTTATTGATATGCAACTTATCATAGTCCTAATTTGCTGAAATATGTTGAGAAAATTTGATGATGGGAAATTCAGTGTGATAGCTGTATCATAAGTCCTGTGTAGCACATTAACTCAGGGCTATGGCTGTCTCAGGGAGTGGGCTTATAAGACTCAGGGCTAGGACTGTCTCAGGGAGTGGGCTTATAAAACTTAGGGCTAGGGCTGTCTCAGGGAGGGGACTATAAGACTCAGGGCTAGGGCTGTCTCAGGGAGTGGGCTTATAAGACTCAGGGCTAGGGCTGTCTCAGGGAGTGGGCTTATAAGACTCAGGGCTAGGGCAGTCTCAGGGAGTGGACTTATAAGACTCAAGGCTAGGGCTATCTCAGGGAGTGGGCTTATAAAACTTAGGGCTAGGGCTGTCTCAGGGAGGGGACTATAAGACTCAGGGCTAGGGCTGTCTCAGGGAGTGGGCTTATAAGACTTGGGGCTAGGGCTGTCTCAGGGAGTGGACTATAAGACTCGGGTCTAGGGCTGTCTCAGGGAGTGGGCTTATAAGACTTGGGGCTAGGGCTGTCTCAGGGAGTGGGCTCATAAGACTCAGGGCTAGGGCAGTCTCAGTGGACTATAAGACTCAGGGCTAGGGCTGTCTCAGGGAGTGGGCTTATAAGACTTGGGGCTAGGGCTGTCTCAGGGAGTGGGCTCATAAGACTCAGGGCTAGAGCTGTGTCAGGGAGTGGACTATAAGACTCCAGTCTAGGGCTGCCTCAGGGAGTGGACTATAAGACTCGGGGCTAGGGCTGTCTCAGGGAGTGGACTATAAGACTCGGGGCTAGGGCTGTCTCAGGGAGTGGACTATAAGACTCGGGGCTAGGGCTGTCTCAGGGAGTGGACTATAAGACTCAGGGCTAGGGCTGTCTCAGGGAGTGGGCTTATAAGACTCAGGGCTAGGGCTGTCTCAGGGAGTGGGCTTATAAGACTTGGAGCTAGGGCTGTCTCAGGGAGTGGACTATAAGACTCAGGGCTAGGGCTGTCTCAGGGAGTGGACTATAAGACTCGGGGCTAGGGCTGTCTCAGGGAGTGGGCTTATAAGACTCAGGGCTAGGGCTGTCTCAGGGAGTGGACTCTAAGACTCAGGGCTAGGGCTGTCAGACTCAGGGCTAGGGCTGGGAGTGGGCTTATAAGACTAGGGCTGTCACTATAAGACTTGGGGCTAGGGCTGTCTCAGGGAGTGGACTATAAGACTCAGGGCTAGGGCTGTCTCAGGGAGTGGACTATAAGACTCGGGGCTAGGGCTGTCTCAGGGAGTGGGCTTATAAGACTTGGGGCTAGGGCTGTCTCAGGGAGTGGACTCTAAGACTCAGGGCTAGGGCTGTCTCAGGACTCAGGGCTAGGGCTGTCTCAGGGAGTTGGCTTATAAGACTCAGGGCTAGGGCTGTCTCAGGGAATGGACTCTAAGACTCAGGGCTAGGGCTGTCTCAGGGAGTGGGCTTATAAGACTCAGGGCTAGGGCTGTCTCAGGGAGTGGGGAGGGAGCTAGGGCTGTCTCAGGGAGTGGACTAGGGCTGTCTCAGGGAGTGGGCTTATAAGACTTGGGGCTAGGGCTGTCTCAGGGAGTGGACTATAAGACTCAGGGCTAGGGCTGTCTCAGGGAGTGGACTATAAGACTCAGGGCTAGGGCTGTCTCAGGGAGTGGGCTTATAAGACTCAGGGCTAGGGCTGTCTCAGGGAGTGGACTATAAGACTCAGGGCTAGGGCTGTCTCAGGGAGTGGACTATAAGACTCGGGGCTAGGGCTGTCTCAGGGAGTGGACTATAAGACTCAGGGCTAGGGCAGTCTCAGGGAGTGGACTTATAAGACTCAGGGCTAGGGCTGTCTCAGGGAGTGGGCTTATAAGACTCAGGGCTAGGGCTGTCTCAGGGAGTGGACTATAAGACTCAGGGCTAGGGCTGTCTCAGGGAGTGGGCTTATAAGACTCAGGGCTAGGGCTGTCTCAGGGAGTGGGCTTATAAGACTTGGGGCTAGGGCTGTCTCAGGGAGGGGACTATAAGACTCAGGGCTAGGGCTGTCTCAGGGATAAGACTCAGGGCTAGGGCTGTCTCAGGGAAGACTGGGGCTAGGGCTGTCTAGGGCTATGACTCAGGGCTAGGGCTGTCTCAGGGAGTGGGCTTATAAGAAATTATCACATTAACAATATCACAATTTAATGCTTTAATGAAAGTTGGAATCAGTGAAAAAGAAGGCATAACAAAAAGTACCACTTACACTGAACTCAATGACAGTAGAAATTGGCTTCCATAAACAAACTATTGGTAATAGATAGAATATATAGGGAAAAAATCAGTGTTTAAAGAAAATGTGATATTAACTGGAAAGTGACATTAACAGACATGTCATTAAGTGGGTTCCAATGTAAAATCAAAAAAATGTTTGAATCAACAGCTTTGATTTAACTTTGAGAAAAGAAGTCTTAATTGGAAAGGTGCTATATCAGTACAACTCTAGAAGTTATTAGTTACATTTACAAGACTCGCATAAAAAACATGTATTTAATATGACCAGTATATCATGTTTCACAGGGTGTCAGACTAGACAGGTTAATCTTGTCACCAGTATATCATGTTTCACAGGGTGTCAGATTAGACAGGTTAATCTTGTCACCAGTATATCATGTTTCACAGGGTGTCAGATTAGACAGGTTAATCTTGTCACAAGTATATCATGTTTCACAGGGTGTCAGATTAGACAGGTTAATCTTGTCACCAGTATATCATGTTTCACAGGGTGTCAGATTAGTCAATTTTATCTAAACACCAGCTTGTGATGCTGCAAGGTGTCAGGTTGTCTGCTTCCTTTGACGTTACCAGTTTTATCAATGTTTTGTTTCAGATAAGACTAATCAATATTACCAATTAAACTAAGTATCAAGGAAAATCACATCAGAAACATCCCCTCTCTTGATTGGTCTTGCACAAAATGTAGGCATAATTAACCTGATACATAATGTTTGCATATCAATTTTTCACTTGTTTTTTTTTCACATCAGTGTTTTATGTCTGACCTATTGACCCTTTGACATGTAAATACAGGTACACAGGATACCAGGGGTTGATGGGTCAGTTGGCCGGAGTCAGAGAGTTCATCTACAGCTCTGGGACACAGCAGGACAAGAAAGGTCTGTAGTGTAAAAGACAGATTGGTCTGAATGGAAGATGGTCAGTTGTCCTCCAGGTTGGACATTGGTCAGTAATCATTCATTTGACAAGGGTAAGTAGTCCTCTGGATGGAGAGTGGTCAGTTGTCCTCCAGGTTGGAGATTGACTAGAAATCCTCAAGGTTGGACATTGGCTAGAAATCCTCCAGGTTGGACATTGGTCAGAAATCCTCAAGGTTGGACATTGGTCAGAAATCCTCCATATTGGACATTGTCTAGAAATAGTCCTCAAACTGGACAGTGGTCAGTAGTTCACTGGATGGACAGTAGACAGTTGTCCAATTTTAGATGGTTTAAAGCACTCTTTGAGTGTCCAGGTGACACAGTGAAACATTCATTAGGAAATTGTGGGAAGTCACATATCAGACTTCATGGGTATTTGTTGGATACTCCAGTTTCCTCCCACAGGAATTTATGAAATGATTGACAGACCAAAGCTGACCAGGATTACAATTTTCTGAGTAAGAGTTATCCATTATAGCTAGTGCCAATTAGGAATTTATATTTTTGAACACCAAAAATTTTAGCCACACGAACATTTATGATTTTTCAGTAGATGATGAAAAGATGTTTCTTTTTTTTTCAGGTTTCGGAGCTTGACAACAGCCTTTTTCCGAGATGCAATGGGCTTCCTTCTCCTGTTTGACTTGACCAGTGAGACGTCTTTCACCAATATTCGGAACTGGCTTTCTCAGTTACAGACACATGCGTACTGTGAGAACCCAGATATTGTACTGTGTGGAAATAAGGCAGATTTAGAGGATAAGAGGATGGTGTCAGAGGAAAGGGCTAGAGAAACTGCTGAAAAATTTGGGTAATTTAGATAAAAGTTCAACTCCATGTCTAACCTTATAATTTGCTAACGAAGGTCTGGACTCTGAGGAGGATACTGTATCTTTTTGTCCAAATTTTAGACTTTTGTGACATAGAAGTAATAAACAATTCTGTGTAGTTTGTTCCTTTAAATACTTTATCTTCTTACATTTTTGTTAAATACAATTTGACAGCATTATGTCAGATCCACAGCCCTATAGAAAACAATAGAAAGTATAAAAAATATTTTATGTATATATACAACACTAAACTAAGACAAATAAAGGAAAGTAATTTGATAAAAGAAACTTGCAAACCATCATGGTTAGGAGGCAGAATCATGATATTTTTTAAACTAATTTTTGAAACTTTAAAAGTTTACAAAGTCTGCTTTGTAGCAGTTGATCTGATTTGCAGAGCCTAAGAATAAAAATCCTTGAAAAGATGTTGGTAATACATTGTTAAAACGAGATGGTAATACATTGTTAAAACAAGAAAATTTATCTCTATATTGATAGAAACAAAAGGGAAAAAAAATGATACTTAAATTTATGTTGATAATTGTCAGTAAAATGAAATCAAATTGTCGACATCCCCACAGGCTTCCTTATTTCGAGACGAGTGCTGCAACCGGACAAAATGTCGCCAAAGCAATGGAATGTTTGCTGGACATGGTGATGATCAGGATGGAACAATGTATAGACAAGTCCCAACTGCCGGGAGCTCGTAACGGTCACGGACGACACGGGAAGTACGAAATGGACGAGGCAGGTGAAGGGGGAGGATGTGCATGCTGATCGTGATGTAAATCGTAATTAAGGTTGTAATAAATTCAAAGTGAATGGACGCTTGAAGCTCGATCATCTTTCATCAATTAATTCAGATAGAAAAGTTACTTTCTGTTGCTTACAAATACACATTCAAAAAAGAGAAAGTAGAATATGGAACCAACCTTATCATGTACTGTTTAATGTCATAAGATTTTGTTTTTAATCAATTAAGATAGAAATTATAAGGTAACCAAAACCTTTTTTTTTCCTGTAATGGCCGGAAAAGTAACGTCCAAGATCATAGCTTGTCTTGTGTTCTGCTTCTGATATTTGCCTGAATCTGCAATGAATTTCACTGTGTTCAGTTACTAAGATATTTAATTTGAAAATATGTATTTTTACAAATAATGTACATATGGTTTGACAGCTGACACATTGAGAAGCATATGTTAGTTGTTTTGAGTGAGTTATATGTCAGTTTTGAACGTTTCGATAGGTTGTGTGATGAAACAAATTAATAAAATGGTTGTGAATTTATGAAGAAATAAGATTTCAGACTTTGAAATTGTTATGATATATTATTTGTTAAGTTTCATAAATAAAACTTTAATGAGTTTTGTTCTATGTTGGTGGGTTTTTAAATTTTTAGAAATTAACATGCTGAAACAGGATTTTGAATTTAAAGTTGACCATTTCATTTTGTATATCTATAGTCTGTTTCTCAAATGTTCTTGTGATGATATATATATAACTAAAGCTTGTTTTATAATGAGTTAGGAATGTCTTCATCTGTTTCCATTAACATCATGAAGTGATATATATAGCTTATTTCACTAATCATTATAAAGTGATTTCTATAGCCTGCTGCATGAAAGATCATTCAGTGATTTCTATAATCTGTTCTGTTTATAATCAGTATGTAATTTCTACAGCCTGTTTGATTCAGGATCAATAAGTGATTTCTATAGTCTATTTCAATAATGCTTATAAAGTGATTCTATAGCTTATTTCATTAAAGATCAATAAGTGATTTCTATAGTCTGTTTCTTTAAAGATCAATAGGTAGTTTCTATAGTCTTTTTCAATCATGATTATGAAGTGATTTCTATAGTCTGTTTCATTAAAGATCAATATGTGATTTCTACAGCTTGTTTCATTAAAGATCAATAAGTGATTTTTATAGCCTGTTTCATTAAAGATCAATAAGTAATTTCTATAGCCTGTCCAATAATGAGTAAGAAGCAATTTATATATCTTATTGTCATGAATTTTTTCTGTATAGCAGCCTGTTTCATTGTGAGAATGAATGTCTTGTTACATTTCTGGCCAAAGAACATTCGAATGTCAATAACTGGCATACATTACATATGTTGGGAATGAAAGACCAGAAGTGTAGTTTTGATTTTTAAATTTTTTTTGTGGTTATTGATGAATTCATAATAAATCTAATCTTGTCTGCCATTTTAGGGTTGATATTCAATCCCATTTTCCTTAAAACCGATTTTTTTTACAAAAATATTGATTTTGAAATTGGCTTACTTAGTGGCACTAGAATCCAGTCAGATTTATTACTGTTAAGTTTTTGTAGTTAAGTTTTCTAAGGATTAGCTACCAGGTTATTTTCTCTCAGTTATTCAGGGATGGCTCAGTTGAATTAAATAACTGGTGATAAATCTGTACCACAGCGTGCAAGGAACTAGCATTATCAATGTATAATGATAATTGAAAAATTTAAAGAATAGAAAACATTAGAAATTGTAAAAATATGGATGTTCAAGAAATATACTAAAATCTGCATCTAAGAATATACATGCTTGACTTGTAGTACTGTATCATGATAATAACTGTTTTTGATGAAGTTTGTTATACGTCTATTATTAGTGATAGATTTCACAGCGGTCCATGGGATCTCTTGTTTAAAAATTATCTTAATACTTCTAGTTAATTATCCTCCCCAGGTCATTAGAGAATGTTTCCTTTGTTAAATGACCTTGTAATCTTGAGAAGAATATTTTAACAGATGATTTTGATCAAAAAGGTTTTTCATACTTTTTATGTTTGGTAATGATTCTATATACAGTTGATATATTGTCTATATAATTGTTTAAATGTTGAGAAATTTTTTACTATTTCCCTTGACTTAGTTCTCTCCCATGCTCTACATAACTTAAAAATTATCTCCACTCCATATAGTCTGTAGTTGTTTCCCATTCTCTACATAACTTAAAAACATCTCCCCTTATCAGTGTCTGTAGTTGTCTCCCCTTCTCTACATAACTTGAAATTATCTCCCCTTATCATAGTCTGAAGTTGTCTCCCCTTCTCTACATAACTTGAAGTTATCTCCCCTTATCTTAGTCTGTAGTTGTCTCCCCTTCTCAGTATGATTGTTGATGATAATGTCCCCTTACTTATGGGATGTACTACATGTATAATAATTCTTGCATAAGAGATATATTTTCTGTATTGGGTGTCCATCTGTCCTGTTATCTGTACTTCTGTCTTTCCGTCCGTCCACTCTACTGGTTCTGAAGCTTGTCTTGATTTTCCCCAAGATTTCACAGTGATATCGTAATCAAATGAACACAGAATATGTCATAAGGTCAAAGTAAGATTATTATTTTTCCATTTAACAAATATAGAATATGGAGAAATACGAATAATTCTTCTCCGTATATATTGTATGAAGTTATATATGTGTCACAGAAATCATCTTTCAACGTCAAGTCCTTTTTTTACGTTTTAAAACTGACAAAGTCCATTCTCAAACAGAAAAAAAAAATCATTTTCGAAATAAGAGTCCTTTTCCAACCATGTCTATTTGTTGATCATCAGAAAATAATGTTATCAGAAGGCTTTCGTTGTGTTTTACCAATGAGGAATGGAAAATCTGATCTCTGCAAAAGATTGTTAGTTTTGCTCTTACTGCTTAAATCATTGTTCCTGTTAATATCAGTCATCCTGATAATAGACAAGACATTATATCAGAAATGTGATTTATAGATTTTTCATTTGTTTCTTGATTTGTTGAAATTGTTAATATTTAACCAATCAGTTTTTATATCTACATCACTTGATCCTTTTCTTACAAACAAGGAAATCCAGTAATTTTTGCTTTTAATACTTCACTTAAGGCTATAGGCTTCTTTAATGTTTTTGTACCAAAGAGTTCCACTCAAGACAATTTTTAAGGACATAATACATATAAAAGGTAGAATATAGTCTTACAATTTTGTAATTTTGTATTTTTTTTTTTTTTTTCATCCTTGAATTTCTTCATATTTTTGGTTTTTTGTGTGAACCTTTGTCTTAAAGTTTGGTCAGTTTTACAACTATCATCTTCAGGCCAAAAATTAAGCAAACACCTTCTGTATATCAGTGTTTTACTTCAGCCAAATATTGAGTGGAAGCTTATTTTGGTTAGATTGTATTTTAAATAATAGCAAGTTAGATGTAATATTTCTGTTACGGCCCTTTTCAAAAAACGTCAAATTGTTTTACTGCTGTTGTATATTAAACAGAGTTATGACCCTTTATTTTTGCACCATTTTTTGGTAGGAGGTGATAGATTGTGTTCAATACTCTGTCTTGTTATTTTCCTATTATAAAGTTTGATCATATTATTAAAGGTTACTCATGAGTAATCATGTAAGAATGAATCTGATTGGTTGAAAACACCAACCAATGGTTTTACATGATGTTCTGAACTGGATTGATTATGACAATGCCCATGTTTGATATTTCTAATTTTGAGAAAAAGAGTTTGGCTTTAATCAAACCCAGTTGAAAAATTTATTTTTTCCTGTGAATTATTTCAGTAAATTATTGATAATTTGCTACCAATGTACATCTTCATAACTTCCAAAATTTAATATATTCATGACTTGCCAATATTAGCATATTCATGACATTGCATTAACGTATTAGCATATTCATGAGGTGATAACAATAAATGTATAGATTTAATATAATTTTCACTGTAATGTTCTTCTATTATTATATATATTACATATTTTCATTATCATCTATTTGCTGATGAAATTATTCGTACTATTTTTTGTTAATGGACTTTTTTCCTACAAGTAGATATACACATATATATATATAGTATATATTCAAATTATGTTTCCCTAACTAATGTTATATGTGCTTTATGTATTGTTTACTTTGTCGACAAAATCCAAAGATTCCAGCCGGATATATCAGTACGTCTCCAGTACTCATGGAATAGTTCACGACAAATTCATGGCAAGACAGTGAAATGAATGGAAGCTAGTGATGGGAAATCAATTAAAATCCATTATAATGATTATGGGCTAAAAGCAGATTGGCTTTTTAATTTAGTTAAATAATCTGTTGACTTTGTGTATTCTGAGAAAGTGAATGCATTCTTCGTAGCTGTGAATAAAAATTTTGTAACTTTGACCTTAGATAGGGAGACTTTACAAAAGAATGAAAATTTTGGCAATTTTCGTCTTTATTATACATAATATACATTTTGTTTTTTTGCTAAAACACAAGAAAATATATTGATTATGAAAAATTCCGAACAATGATCACATCAGATGATTAAATAATGGATGTATCCCATCACTAACAAAAATTTTAAATAATATCTTCCAAATAAAATGTATGTATATTTCATACTTTAGAACTGTTGAAGAAGATCTTGTTTAAACTGAATATTTTCAGCATTTTTAAACTTTCAGTATTGCTATACACTATATACTGTTAAAAATTATTCATTTTTTCTTCAGGAAAAGACAGAAAGAAGTCAGAGTTTCAAAAGTTTGGTTTTTTTATCAAATTTTTTTTATCTCCTCTTTACATTTCCCTCATTAGGGTAAATCTTATCATTTACAAGGATGTTTTCTATTCATGAATTAAAAAGTTGTGCATGAAGAGATTTAATTTGTCATGACCTCCTCGGAGTTCAGAGGTTAAAGGTATATCAGGAGTGGAACCCTTGAATTTTGTAGTTGACTTTGTCTCTGTTACATACAATGTACAATTATATTAATAACCTTCCGAATAAAATTTATTTATTTTTTAAGTTTTGTTTAGTTTTTTGTTGAAGTTTAATGGCCAGAGTTAGTAGTTTCAGTCACATCAACATGAGACTTAATATTTAAGTCCTTTTCTCTGGTAGAATTTATTTTGGGATGTTGATTTTGGTCAAACTAAATTAACAATGAATTTCAGTTGCTGTGCATCTTGGGTAAGAAAAATACTGAAGGATTTATCTCCCCTTTTACGATCATTTGTCTTACTGGAAATGTTACTCCCACAAAAATGCTGTGGAATTTCCCCTTTTCTGTATACTGTGAAATTATTAATTATTGTGGAGGAATTGTTATCATTGAATTCTTGAGTACTCTTAAATCCACAAATTTATATGTCCACAAAATGTAAACTAGAGAAAAGCTGATATGCATTTTAGTGCTAGTGGTTTTGGTGATCATGATATTTAATTCACGAAATCAAGTGCCAACGAAAACATGCAATTTTGGAAAAACAAGATTTGAACCCTAAAAGAATATATAATTCTACATTGTAGTTCTTTAATGTCATGTGGCTAATATTTTTTATGATTTCACCATAATTATCACAGGATAAAATTTCTTTCACCCATGAATACAGCCATATAACAAACATTTTTGTAGATTTCACTCCACTATCCCCTGCAAATATTACTAGAGAAAAATAGAATAAATTACTTTGATCCTTAACTGGGTGATTACACTAGATATTGTAACATGTACAGAGGTATGCTGAATGGTCACCTTGTAATATGGACACTACTTGTCTGCTCGGTGATTAAAGATTATAAGAGTCCTGGACTAAATAGCAAACTCAGGTGAAAATCTGAGGTATGTGGTTTGACACTCCCTATCCACCGTAGTTTCTGTTTCTCAGAAGCTGAGAAACATCATCCAGTGACTCGTATTTTCTCCAATGAGGGAGACACAGGCTAATCTATGGAAATACTTTGATTTAAGATGACCCTGGCTTTTACCGTGGAAACAAACCCAACAAAGAAGCATAGTAGTATATCTGTTGATTATTATCATTGTTGTTACATTCTTAATGGCCCGCCAACACATAAAAGGTCATTAGGGCCATCAACCAGTGAAAGACAACGATCCAAAGGGAAATAACATCAAATGAACTAAACTGTAAAAGACAAACTCTGAAAATCTTAAATGGTTATATTATCACGAAAGATTAAAAAGGTATATCATATCCTGTAATCTGTACTATAGACCAACATCTTTCAGATAACATAAAAATTGGTAGATATGAACAGTTTCAAGTAGGGTCTTTAGATTTGTAACATTATGATAAAAGTTTTCTCAAGTAGACCGAAGGTCAATGCAGTCCAAAAAATCTTGCATTTATTATATTTATTATGAAAATAACTCCTATAAACATCTCCTTCAAGATGTATAGACAAAATGAGAAAATAAAACATAATTGAAATTATATAAAATATCGTAAAAAATTTATAATCACAATCCATCATACATGCTTGGGAAGAAAGTTTTATTTTGGTATTTTTAAGCTGCCAAGTTCCAAAAGTATTAAAATAAGAATTTCAAATACATCATTTACCCTGGTATATGGATTATAACATGCATGAACACCAACAATAAAAACTTGTTGAATGTCATTATTTTATATTTTCAGCGAGATTCTGGGACATTTGAACTAGGTCATTCTTCATAAGAATAATTCCTAGTAAAGGACCAAAGGGCCAAGTGAGGCCATAGCGCAGCGTCCGTCGTCCGTCGCCCGTCTGTCAACTTTTAATTGAAACAAATTCTTCTGAAATACTGAAAGAGGTAGAGTTATCATATTTGGCTGGAAGGTTCCTTTGATGAAGCCAAACAAAACTTGACCCATATTCAAGGTCACAGAGGTCAAATGTGTTAAAACCATTAAACGACTTCTTCCAAAATACCAGAAGGCCTAGAATCATTATATATAGCTGGAAGGTTCCTTTGATGATGCCCAGCAAAATTTGTGAAAAAAAAACCTTGACCCATATTCAAGGTCACAGAGGTCAAATGTGTTAAAACCTTTAAAAGACTTCGCCCGAAATACCAGAAGGACTAGAATCATTATATATGACTGGAAGGTTCCTTTGATGAAGCCCAACAAAGTTTGCAAAAAGAAATGACCTTGACCGATATAAAAGGTCACAGAGGTCAAATATGTTAAAACCTTTAAACGACTTCTTCCAAAATACTGGAAGCCCTAGAATCATTATATTTGGCTGGAAGGTTCCTTTGATGAAGCCCAACAAAGTTTGAGAAAGAAAATAACCTGACCCATATTCAAGGTCACAGAGGTCAAATGCATAAATATGATTAAATGACTTCTTCCAAAATACCGAAAGGTGTAGAGTTATCATATTTGGCTGGAAGGTTCCTTAGATAAAGCTTAACAAAGTTTGTGAAAAGAAATTACCTTGACCCATATTCAAGGTCACCGAGGTCAAATGTGTTAAAACCATTAAACGACTTCTTCCAAAATACCAGAAGGCCTAGAATCATTATATATAGCTGGAAGGTTCCTTTGATGATGCCCAGCAAAATTTGTGAAAAAAAAACCTTGACCCATATTCAAGGTCACAGAGGTCAAATGTGTTAAAACCTTTAAAAGACTTCGCCCGAAATACCAGAAGGACTAGAATCATTATATATGACTGGAAGGTTCCTTTGATGAAGCCCAACAAAGTTTGCAAAAAGAAATGACCTTGACCGATATAAAAGGTCACAGAGGTCAAATATGTTAAAACCTTTAAACGACTTCTTCCAAAATACTGGAAGCCCTAGAATCATTATATTTGGCTGGAAGGTTCCTTTGATGAAGCCCAACAAAGTTTGAGAAAGAAAATAACCTGACCCATATTCAAGGTCACAGAGGTCAAATGCATAAATATGATTAAATGACTTCTTCCAAAATACCGAAAGGTGTAGAGTTATCATATTTGGCTGGAAGGTTCCTTAGATAAAGCTTAACAAAGTTTGTGAAAAGAAATTACCTTGACCCATATTCAAGGTCACCGAGGTCAAATATGTTAAAACCTTTAAACGACTTCTTCCAAAACACCGGAAGGCCTAGAATCATTATATTAGGCTACTATGTTCCTCTTGTGGTGTCCTACAATGTTTGCTTAAAGAAATGACCTTGACCAATCTGCAAGGTCACAGGGGTCAAATGTGTTAAACATGGAACATATGCACAGACAACGTTTAAACAATTTCTTCTGAAATAACAAAAAGCCTAGAATCATTATATTTGGCCAGTATGTTCCTTTTATGAAGTCCAAGAATGTTTTTAAAAAGAAATGACCTTGACCCATAGTCAAGGTCACAGGGGTCCAATGTGTTAAACATGGAACATATGCACAGACAAGTACTGTTGGTCATAAAGATCCAGGTGAGTGATACAGGCCATCTGGGCCTCTTGTTCTAACACCTAAAAAGGAATACTGTAAAACTATTAATTTTTGTGAGGGTTTATTTTCACTGATCATTTATTTCATGGGCTCTTTTAATTCACTCATTCTTATGTCCACAAAACTATTAATAAATGACAAAAAGATTTATCGAGCTATATTCATTCACAAAATCAAATGTCCATCATACAGCAAATTGTTTTTCAGAAAAACACAAAAATTGAGCCCCACAAAAACACATGATTTTACAGTATATCTGAAACATTATTTGATACATTTCCAGAAATTTCATCTGTTGATCAGTTCTGATAAGAATACTTTACAAATACATCAAGTCAACAATATTATAAAATGTAAGCATTAAATTTTATTGAATGTTTTTTTTAATATTCAAAGGTATAAAATAGTTCCAATAGAACTGAATACACCAATTTTAAACACTATTTAAAATTAATATATTTTGAAATGCATGAACTTTATTTCTTAATTTTTAAAATCAATATTGTCAATATCTATATTTTCATTTGAATAAAACAATCACTTGTAGATAAAAATCAATGTATATATTCAAGTAGCATACAATGATTGGATTTTTCTATTTAAATAATTCACATTTCTAATTTATTGTTAAAACAACTTAAAAGTATAACATTTAAACAATGTAAAACCATTACTTTTCCATAGTAGTGAAAGTTATCAACTTGACATCCAGTACAGCAGTCACAGATGAAAGATAACACAAAGTTCTTAAATAACAAAATATTTGAAATTCTTAATTCTATACATTTCAAATCTGTACAGCACATGCAATAGTATTATCCTCTTTTTATGTATAAACAAAGAAATAATAACATAGCATATTTTCTGTTGTTTGAAAAAAGTGATTCCACTTTAAGAAAAAGAGAACACAAGAACTATTTGTAATCCTCCAGAAATTCACTCCATAATAACCCCATGGCTAGTTATAAGCCCGTCTATATTTGTGGTGGTTTTAGTAAAATTATCCCACAATGCCTCTTCACTAACCTGAAAGTGCTAATGTTTCATGGTCTTTTTTTATCAACTTTCACTATACATTTATATATATGTATAGATATGTGTGTTACTTTTCACAAAAGCCAAAAAAAAAATTAGAAAATGTTGACCCAATATCTTATTACTGGTCCTGCTGACCTTTGACCCCTGACCCCAGGAGGAGGGTGAGGTTAAGTTCTGAATGGTGCATTCAATAAATAAAATTAAAAGAAAAGACAGAAGCTTTCCAATAATTGTACTGATATAACTTTCCAATTACAAAACTTCACAATATGATAGAGAAAATTTAAAGTTCTTTAAAATCAGAAATTAATTTGAATAAGTATTTAAAATACACACTTTAAAGTAAAGACGTAAACATTTCCATATTTTTTTCTGTAAAAACAATTTCCAGAAGGACAATTAAATAGACAATATTGAACATTTTAATCATAATTTCTAGGATAAAATAACTTTTTAAAAATTGTTTCAATAATTAAAAAGAGTTTGAAAACCAGAAAACATGCATTTTATCAGTTACTCCATCAAGATCAAATCCAATCCCAATATCGAGAATTTAAAGACAAGATTATTTACATTTGCTTAAAAGGACTTGATGTATTCAAAAATCCTTTCAGCAAATTCTTGACCCAGGACAATTAGTAGTACATTATCCTCTATGTGACTCCATCTTGTGCATCTTGGACTCCTTCCCCATGTAGCAAAATATCTGCTAAATTCACTGAGGAAAGAATTTTATCTATCTTTGGGTGATGCTTGTGAAAGATCTGAAACAAATTGAAAAGAAAATAATAATCTTTAAATCAAAATATCTTTGAATAAAACTACAAAAATGACCCTAAAATTTCAAAAATGTTACTTTTAATATAGATAATTGTGAGTTGAGTCTGTTGCTTTCTTACTTTATCACAGAAGACCTCTTATGTGATGAACAGACAATATGAAAATTCAGTATATAAATGATTTCTGACAGTAAATACTTGCCCAACACTGTTGGTTTGTCAAACTACATGTAACAAGTAATTATTCAGTTTTTCTGTGCTTTCTGCCAATCAACCTCTGGGGCAAAGTTTATCGTGTTCTTCAGCCTGATCACTGCTAAATTTCCATCCTTTTTGTCAAAACAGTTTATCGAGTACTTTAGCCTTGATCATTATCCATTTAACAATTTCCAGTGTATTAAGTAAATTTTGACAACAAATTTTCCTGAAGTGAGTAAAATAAGCATCAGCTCTGAAATAATGTATGATGTCCCGCACCTTGTCTGGGTATTTAAATGCTGCTCGCTGAAACAAGACGGCTGAGTGTTCTGTAACCGTCAAGCCATGTTGTTGACAACTTTCTGAAGCTTGAGCAGCATCATCATACCACAGAAGATCTGACAGCTTTTCCAAAGGGTAGGCAAAGGATTTGGAATTGAAGCCTGAACTTAATACATGGAGAGTTTTACTGGAATACAAAAGGATCGACAAATCATTACAGTGAACATTCTACAATACATGTAGCATCTCAGTGAATGGTCAGAATTATTTCCTTTTTTTTAAATTATCCTGGAATCAACTCTTTGTAACAAAAGTAGTTGTTAGAGCCCCTTAATGTCACTATTTGTTAATATCATATTTTCTTCTAACAGCCTTTTTATCATCTATAAACCAGGTACTCTGTGAAATGAAACATTTAATGTCACATACATTTTGTTGGGCTTAATATCCTTAAATTAGACCATTCTCACAAAAAATAAGTTTAATGAGAAAAGGATCTTTGGAATCCTGCCCTGAGGTAAGGGCACATCTGCACACATTATGTAACAGACATCACACCCAAACATAAATTTTTCACACCTCGCTGACTCCCGAACAACAGATCAGTCTTCTTAACAATCAGTTTCAGCTAAGTCAAGGGAAGTCTATGCGTTTGTACACTTGGCATATAACCCTACTTGGCAGCAGTATACTGTGTTATGGTCACAAATTATTTTCTTTTTCTTGAATTAATTAGAATAATGTTTGTAGCCAAATCAGATATTTCATCTCCTAAAAAAAACATACCTTTGAATACAGCTGAGGTGTCTGTGAGCAGCACATACGAACAGAGGATAACGTTTGGATTGATCAGGCTCCGAGAGACGCAAAACTCGTACAGCATTCATCAGAATATGAGCAAGGCTGATTCTGTAGGCTCGCTGAAGTAGTGGTAGATCTCTAGAAAGATTTGAAACAAATGTATATTGTCTTATATGTCTAAAGAACATGATTTATCAAAAAAAAAACAAGAACTCAAGTTAGAAGTGAAGCAGTTTAGCATAGATTTATAAAGTTATCAACAATTTTAAAAATTAAATGTTTTCTACACGTATAATTACAATTTGTAAATGATCTGCTGACAGATCACACACCAGGGTTTCAAAGACCAAGAAAATCAAACACAAAAGTTTATCTTCAAACAACGCAATCCACCTCATGTTTTCTTAATTACCTGACATGTTTAGGAAGTTCATAAAAGTGCATTAAAGCATCTGTCTGACCAAGATTAAACATGAGATAGAGGCTCTCAAATTCTTCCTGATGGAGATGATCAGGGGAGACAACTCTATAAAGGGAGATAAGCCTCTTGAGACATTCCTGCGTATGTTGATCATTAATTTTAGGGTCATACACTGACATTGGCTGTGTGCACAACCTGAAAAATATACATTACACTCAAATGAATGATAAAATTGATTTAATTTGTATGGAATATGTCTCTCTAGTTATAATCATGTCAAATTCATTGATAAAAACAATAAGAAATATGGTTTATCTTAGCCCTAAAATGAAAGCAATTTTCTGCTGTGTAGTAACCAATAAACAAGGCTTTTTAATTGCTGTATTTTTTATATAGATTTTGGTTAAAAACTGTATTTTTAAACATTGTTTATATTTTCCAAATCATTCTCTGGCAGTAAATTTCAACACAGACAAAAACAGTTCATTTAAAGTTCAAATTTTACATTTGTTCAGTCAAGTAAAGGTGATACATGCTCAAACATAAAATATTTCAGTTTATTAACACTATAAATATTCACCATCAGGTATGAAGAATTCTATTAAGGGAAACTCTAATAGAAAACTCATTTTATACAGGTAAGCAAACTTGTGAAAGTAAGTTAGTGATGTGTTAAAAGAAAAACATGTTACACAGTTTAAGAAAAACGTATACTATCTCAGTAATAAGCTCATTCTTTGAATTAATTTAAAATTGTTGAGTCCTGAAGTAATGTGTTGGCTCTACGGGCTCATTAAAGGAGAAAACAAACATGGCCTGATGGTGATGTGGTAACACACACAGTTTTTACCTAGGCAATCACATTTGGTACATCAATCAGACATACAACCACAATTGACTCATCAACCACACATACAACCACAATTGACTCATATACAATCACATTTGACTCATCAATCAGACATTAAAGTGATAGGGTTGCCAGCCCACCTCTGTGGTCTTTCTTTGGGTGCTCAAATTTTCTCCCTCTGTAAGATCGATCTTGTGCTTGACTTCAGACCATCAAGAGTGAATAATATGAAAGTATTACATTTGTTTCGAAACTGCTGTAAAATGTGTCAACAGTTTAAACAAAGACAAACCTATAGCCAGCGTAGATATGAAAACGGACAATTTTCTCCAGGAGCTCGATTCCATCATGGCCTCCGATACTCTGGATGACCATGTCTTGTCTGACTGCTCTCAGCCGGTCAAAGATAAAGTCGTACAAATCTGGCCAGGAATGGTCCGATCGGACTGCGACCCTGTAATAAACAAGCAAATTCATGGAATTTATATCCCCTGCTTTCCATACATATTGTAAGTAAATAGAGGTTAGGAGTAAACATGTCACAATGCTATGTAGAATGATATGTCCTCTTGAGCTATGATGTATTGCTTTAAAGCCAAAGAAAGACGTAAAGGATTATAGAGAGTAGATGTTTTATTGGACATATCAAATATTAACCAATAAAGTGAACTAATTGAAGAAAACTTGCATACTAGTAACTATGATTGTGCTAAGCAGATCCATGGTCATCAGCAGGTATAGTAGTCCACACAATAAGATGATCAGTATAGGGGACTGGATAATAATTGTGGGACTTCAAGTTACATCTAAATCAGATTATATTTAGGAAAGTTAGAGCACAAAAACTGACCAACCAATGAAATGAAAGGATACCTAATTAGCATGCATAGATATTAACAGATGATGCTGATTGCTGAACTCAGTCTTATGTGCCCTAATATGCATTTGCTGACCAAGTTTCATCTAAATCGGATTATGTTTAGGGAAATTAGATCACGGAAATGGAGCTCTTTAGAAAACGAGATGTATGCATGTAAATGTAGCATACAGCCTTAAGTCTTTATATACATTAAATCTCACCTCCCCAACAAATAATCAACTGTCTCCTTAAGTACATGTGCAGGTCGAAGGTCACTTGGCAGGGGGTCTTTCTTTCCTGCAGCAGGTCGACTATACTCTTTCACAACCCTGGAGCGTATACACACAAACCTAAACAAAACAATAAATATACTTAATTACACATTTGATCCTCGAGAGCTTCAAAGTATCTTTATCCTAGGCTGATTGGTATCTAAGAAGTGGTACCCTGAATGAGACTGCCTTCAAACCTATAAGGTTGCTAATTCAAGATAAACTTTGGTCATCTGGTATTATGAAGCAGCTCAATTTCCTTTGGTGTCATTTGGAAATAGATCTGAGATACAGCTGTTACATTATTAAAATACTATGCAAATATTTTGCAAAAGTTTACCTCCCATTTTCATCCTTTACGCCTTCCAAGGGGTGCAAAAGTTCTTCTCTTTGCCTTCTGAAAAAATAAATTAACAAGAGGTCCATGGTCAACTGACTACAAAACCTTTCAGCATGGAGATAGGTTAATTTTTCTATTTTTAATGAAATCTTACTAAGAAGCTACTTTCCATGATGCAGAATGTAGTTTTGGTGAGGAGTAGGTAGCTGTAACAAGTATTACCTATTTCCTGACAGTAAAGTTGGAGCTCAATCGCACAGGTGAAACTTAAGAAGAAGTTTAAATTGTCAAACGTTTATGCACTGTGGATGGTGGATGTTGCACGTCAGATGATGGACGAAGCACGATGGCAACAGTTAAAACGCTCTTTACACTTTAAACATGTAAATAATGAAAAACAACTGGTGAGAAATCATTAGAATTTTGATTCTGGTTAATTTTTATCTTTTTATAGGGAATATAAAGACAAAAAATGGGGCAAAGCCACAATTGGCCTGTGTTATATATCATGCTCAAAACAACGTTTCAGCCAATGAGAGGCTATCGCGCTCAAAACAACATCTCAACCGATGGGAGGCAAAGGCTGCCATCTTGGATTTTCCATGCCAGACTGTTGAAAATGACTAAGTTCCAAAGCCCAGAAAATAAAGAAAAATGTCTGAAATGAATCCTAAATTAATAGGTGCACATCTTCAACATATTTATAAACATAATACAAAGTTTCAAGCTTCCACATCAAAAACTCTAAGAGGAGTTGATACTGGTACCCCTTTTCCTCGCCCTCACGACCGCCCGCCCTCAAAATTAACCAAATTAAAATTCTAAATTCAAGGAAATGGCACAAAATATAAGCATACAAAATATTTACATGAAGATAATTGCAAATCACAGGTTTGTGTTAGAGTAGAACCAAAGCCAGTCAGAAAATTTCTGTGTCCAAACAGTTGGTGAGTTATTGAATATGCCTAAGAATTTCAGTGAACATGGAAAATGGTGATGAACGTGGATTAAAAAGTCTAATCTCATGTCCCAGAAGGATATTTTACGAGAACTGAAGACCTCTGACTGAAATTTATTATCATTTTAACCCTTAGACTCAACTGACCAGTTCTCAAACACAAAACATAGTTTTCTGCTGTTTAATCTGAATACTTGTCAATGATTTCAATTATTGTTGTATAAACTGAGAAGAGACATGTCACAAACATTGTCAGCTGTAATAAAGTTGTTAAATTATCAGCAGACTGTCAAAGGAAATCAGTGTAATGGCAAATATCAACAAAACCTTGAACATCGCATTAGAGTGTGAAATATTAATTACTATGGTAGTGTCATTCTATGAAATAAAAATCAAAACTCTCATGGGGAAAATGTTGACCAATATTTTAGTTTGTGGGAAAAAAGTCAAATCCACAATTTATGCACTACTTTTCTTTTAAATAAGATATTTTGCTATCATCATTTCAGAGTAGGCAAAACAATGAAGTTCTTAGGAAGCAACGTTTACATTGACAGCTGTTGTGCACAGCTTGATCAGCTGCACAGAGTAGTTAGGGAGTTTTTCTTATTTGAGATAGAAAAGTGCCAATACCTCCCATAATTATCAAGTATCATGTGTTGACAAACCAGTCATTTTGTAGAATGAGAACCGAAAATATTAAGTTTTCGAGCACTTTACATGTAAATCTATGAAAATATAAATATTTTCTGTAAAACTGTATTGAGGTTTTTAACTTTAAGTAGACACAGCAAATGTGTTTGTAATAAATGAATTTGAATCCCTCTTGTCGACAGAACGAAACGGGTCATCTTGTGCAAACAGTTCTAAGTGGAGAAAATTATATTTTCAGATGAAAGTCAGATTGTGATTGGAAAAGGCAATAGAATGTGTATTTGAAGTTAATTTCACTTCAGGTTAAAGATATGATCTGGGGATGCATCATGGCATAAGGTATGTGGATCTGTGTTGATAGCGAGCGCAGTGAGCGCTTTATGGTATTGTGTGTGTGTGTGATAATTCAACTCCAACAACCTGCCCATACGATCAACCCAGAATAATGCAGTTTATGTAAGATATTGTGGCTTTCACAAGAATTTTATTTAAACATATATATTTATATTGATTTTCTTAATTACAATGTATAACAGAATAGTCTCAACAAAGTTTATAACTTTACCCTCTTTTTGCTACCAGGACATGTTCAACTTGCTTAAAAAACCGAAGGTTCTGAAGCATTTTATGATTGGTTAATGAACAGAACGAAAACTCTCAATAGCAAAGAGAAAAGAAAACGGCGGGAGAGAACATTGTGATTTTATTAATGAAAACTTGTTAAATATATAAGCACCACCTTTACAAATCCGACTAAAACTATAATATATTGTCTTTCACCATATTTTGACAAAATCCTTTCTTTTTTTAAAACAAAGATGATAGAAAGTCCTCTCTGCAATATCTGTAACTCTAAAAGGGAAACTCTTTTGCATTTATTTTGAAGATCTTTTTTATCAATTGTTATAGTCTAGATATGTTGTCAGTGACTTTTTTAATACATTTATTGTTACCATTGAAACCGATGACCCTCATCAAAATTTCAGTTTTTCTGGGCCAATACTGTGACAAGGTAATTGCTCAAAACTGTTTACATATAATAAGCTAGTAGTCTCTTTTGCCATGGGGAAGATTGCCATTTAAATGCTTTTTCTGATACCATGGAAACATAGGCCAAACCACAAAACTTTTTTTCAAACCAGTTATCTTAAACCATTCAAGGTAATTACCCGATACTCAAAACATTGTACAGGCATCAAGCTAGTACTCTAGTAGAAGTTCTCTATTTCAATACTTTGTACAGGCATCAAGCTAGTACTCTAGTAGAAGTTCTCCATTTCAATACTTTGTATGGAACAATTAGAAATAACAAATAGAAATTAACTTGTTGTAATATTAATATATATATGATTGTGTGTTTTTCATTTAAACAGCTTCGCGAAGGGAAAGTGTCACATTTTGCATTATTTTGTCGTCCTTTGTTTTGTTCTTCTTTGTCTGCCTTCATGGTGTATGATTGTATGTGCATGACTTACTTACATATGGAAACTTTGTTATTTCAACTTATAAAAATCACACTTGTTGTAAGCAAGAGAGGGGTCTAATTTTGGGAGGAAACCTGTATCCTTTCTATCCCTTTGGGGAATCGAACCCCGAATGGCTAGGTGATAGACAAGTGTGTTACAACTGTGCCACCAAACCACCACCTGATCATGGTGATACAATGTTTTCTAGAAGAAGAAGAAGAAGAAGATGTGTTGCTGCTGCTGATGATGATGATGATGATATATTGGTACATTTGTATGTGTCGATGTTTTGTTCAAATCTTGCGAAATATACAACAAATTTACAACAAAACACGCTTCAGTGCAAACATGGATCAGGCTGTTCAAAATGTGCACTTTCTTGACCAACTTGCGCTCGTTTTTAGGCAGAGCCTACTTCATATTAGTAACATAAAACCTGTCATCTTAAATATCGGAGTTACTAATGTTAAAAGAATGGATGGGAGATTGATTCACGAACACTTAATATCGATGAAAACACGCAGAGGACTTACAAGTCTATTTCTTTCTCTGGACACTTAAATTGACAAGTTCCCTGTATGGAATCCCTGTATAAGTCTGCATCTTCCATAACTTCTCGATTCAGAACTTCTTTGTTTCGTTTTCACCAACACCTCGGGGTCAATATTTTCCTTGCCTTATTTACTAAAAACTGTAAAAGATTCAAACGTTTCCATTGCATAGATTTTGATATACAGTAATAAGCAAAGTATTAACGGTATAGAGATTCCGGATCACGAAAACTGTTATTATTTCTACAAAGAAATAAATTACAATACATCATGATGAACAATAATGAAGACACAGTTATTGTACAAAATAAGGACATATCCTTTCTGTAAATCACACTCGCCCTAACAGCGACGGACGTACCAGCCTATAGACAGAAATCTTCGATCTAGTCACAGCCGTGAAGGACAATATAATGTATGAAAGAGATATTCTGTTGTGGTGAAAGTATATCATATGCTTATCAAATACGCCTAAAAATAAAATGTTTGATAATTATAATTCAGATGTAAATAATACAGGATTCTTTAAATGACTCATCAATGAGTCTTGTCATGTATAAAGGGAGTCACTGAATTATAGTCATAACATTTACCGTGTAAAGCGAGTCACCGCATAACAACGTCCTTTCCGTCCCTCTCCGTGTAAAGGGAGTCACCGATTTATAACCATGTCCTTTAGGGTCACTCTCTGTGTAAAGGGGGTCACCGATTTATAACCATGTCCTTTACCGTCCCTCTCCGTGTAAAGGGGGTCGCCGATTTATAACCATGTCCTCTACCGCCCTCTCCGTGTAAAGGGAGTCACAAATTTATAACCATGTCCTTTTTTACCATCCCTCTCCGTGTAAAGGGGGTCACCGATTTATAACCATGTCCTTTAGGGTCCCTCTCCGTGTAAAGGGGGGTCACCGATTTATAACCGTGTCCTTTACCATTCCTCTCTATGCAAAGGGGGTCACCGATTTATAACCGTGTCCTTTACCATCCCTCTCTGTGCAAAGGGAGTCACCGATTTATAACCATGTCCTTTAGGGTCCCTCTCCGTGTAAAGGGGGGTCACCAATTTATAACCGTGTCCTTTACCATTCCTCTCCATGCAAAGGGAGTCACCGATTTATAACTGTGTCCTTTACCATTCCTCTCTATGCAAAGGTGGTCGCCGATTTATAACCGTGTCCTTTACCATCCCTCTTCGTGTAAAGGGGGGTCACCGATTTATAGCCATGTTCTTTACCGCCCTCTCCGTGTAAAGGGGGTCACCGATTTATAACCATGTCCTTTACCGCCCTCTCCGTGTAAAGGGAGTCACCGATTTATAACCATGTCCTTTAGGGTCCCTCTCCGTGTAAAGGGGGTCACCGATTTATAACCATGTCCTTTAGGGTCCCTCTCCGTGTAAAGGGGGTCACCGATTTATAACCATGTCCTTTACCGTTCCTCTTCGTGTAAAGGGAGTCACAGATTTATAACCATGTCCTTTACCGTCCCTCTCCGTGTAAAGGGGGTCACCGATTTATAACCATGTCATTTACCATCCCTCTCCGTGTAAAGGGGGTCACCGATTTATAACCATGTCCTTTAGGGTCACTCTCCGTGTAAATGGGGGTCACCGATTTATAACCGTGTCCTTTACCATTCCTCTCTATGCAAAGGGAGTCACCGATTTATAACCATGTCCTTTACCGTCCCTCTTCGTGTAAAGGGGGGGTCACCAATTTATAGCCATGTTCTTTACCGTCCCACACCGTGAAAAGGAAGTCACCTATGAATAACCGAGGACTTCATCGCCTCTCCCCGTGAGAAGGGAGTCACCGATTTATAACCATGTCCTTTACCGTCCCTCTCTATGCAAAGGGAGTCACCGATTTATAACCATGTCCTTTACCGTCCCTCTCCGTGTAAAGGGGGGTCACCGATTTATAACCGTGTCCTTTACCATTCCATCCCTCTCCGTGTAAAGGGGGTCACCGATTTATAACCATGTCCTTTACCGTCCCTCTCCGTGTAAAGGGGGGTCACCGATTTATAACCATGTCCTTTACCGCCCTCTCTATGCAAAGGGAGTCACCGATTTATAACCATGTCCTTTACCGTCCCTCTTCGTGTAAAGGGGGACATCGATTTATAACCATGTCCTTTAGGGTCCCTCTCCGTGTAAAGGGAGTCACCGATTTATAACCATGTCCTTTAGGGTCCCTCTCCGTGTAAAGGGGGTCACCGATTTATAACCATGTCCTTTACCGTTCCTCTTCGTGTAAAGGGGGGGGGAAGTCACCGATTTATAACCATGTCCTTTACCGTCCCTCTCTGTGCAAAGGGAGTCACCGATTTATAACCATGTCCTTTACCGTCCCTCTCTGTGCAAAGAGAGTCACCGATTTATAACCATGTCCTTTACCGTCCCTCTTCGTGTAAAGGGGGGTCACCGATTTATAACCATGTCCTTTAGGGTCCCTCTTCGTGTAAAGGGGGTCACCGATTTATAACCGTGTCCTTTACCATCCCTCTCTGTGCAAAGGGAGTCACCGATTTATAACCATGTTCTTTATCGTCCCTCTCCATGTAAAGGGAGTCACCGATTTATAACCATGTCCTTTACCGTCCCTCTCCGTGTAAAGGGGGTCACCGATTTATAACCATGTCCTTTACCGTCCCTCTCTGTGCAAAGGGAGTCACCGATTTATAACCATGTCCTTTACCGTCCCTCTTCGTGTAAAGGGGGTCACCGATTAATAACCATGTCCTCCTGTTCACCGATTTATAACCATGTCCTTTACCGTCCCTCTCCGTGTAAAGGGGGTCACCGATTTATAACCGTGTCCTTTACCATCCCTCTCTGTGCAAAGGGAGTCACCGATTTATAACCATGTCCTTTACCGTCCCTCTTCGTGTAAAGGGGGGTCACCGATTTATAACCATGTCCTTTAGGGTCCCTCTCCGTGTAAAGGGGTCACCGATTTATAACTGTGTCCTTTACCATCCCTCTCTGTGCAAAGGGAGTCACCGATTTATAACCATGTCCTTTTCCGTCCCTCTTCGTGTAAAGAGGGGTCACCGATTTATAACCATGTCCTTTACAATTCCTCTCTATGCAAAGGGAGTCACCGATTTATAACCATGTATAACCATGTCCTTTAGGAAGTCACCGATTTATAACCATGTCCTTTACCGTCCCTCTTCGTGTAAAGGGGGGTCACCGATTTATAACCATGTCCTTTAGGGTCACTCTCCGTATAAAGGGGGTCGCCGATTTATAACCATGTCCTTTACCGCCCTCTCTATGCAAAGGGAGTCACCGATTTATAACCATGTCCTTTACCGTCCCTCTTCGTGTAAAGGGGGGTCACCAATTTATAGCCATGTTCTTTACCGATTTATCCCTCTCCTGTGTAAAGGGAGTCACCGATTTATAACCATGTCCTTTGTAACCCCTTTCTCCCTCTCGTGTAAAGGGAGTCACCGATTTATAACCATGTCCTGTAAAAGGGAGTCACCGATTTATAACCATGTCCTTTAGGGCCCCTCTTCGTGTAAAGGGGGTCACCGATTTATAACCATGTCCTTCATCACCTCTCTCCGTGTGAAGGGAGTCACCGATTTATAACCATGTCCTTTACCGTCCCTCCCTGTGCAAAGAGAGTCACCGATTTATAACCATGTCCTTTACCGTTCCTCTTCGTGTAAAGGGGGGGGTCACCGATTAATAACCATGTCCTTTATCGCCTCTCTCCGTGTGAAGGGAGTCACCGATTTATAACCATGACCTTTACCGTCCCTCCCTGTGCAAAGGGAGTCACCGATTTATAACCATGTCCTTTACCGTCCCTCTTCGTGTAAAGGGGGGTCACCGATTTATAGCCATGTTCTTTACCGTCCCTCTCCGTGTAAAGGAAGTCACCTATTTATAACCATTTCCTTTATCGCCTCTCTCCGTGTAAAGGGAGTCACCGATTTATAACCATGTCCTTTACCGTCCCTCCCTGTGCAAAGGGAGTCACCGATTTATAACCATGTCCTTTACCGTCCCTCTTCGTGTAAAGGGGGGTCACCGATTTATAACCATGTCCTTTACCGTCCCTCTCTGTGCAAAGGGAGTCACCGATTTATAACCATGTCCTTTACCGTCCCTCTCTGTGCAAAGGGAGTCACCGATTTATAACCATGTTCTTTACCATCCCTCTCCGTGTAAAGGGAGTCACCGATTTATAACCATGTCCTTTAGGGTCCCTCTCCGTGTAAAGGAAGTCACCTATTTATAACCGTGTCCTTTACCATCCCTCTCTGTGCAAAAGGAGTCACCGATTTATAACCATGTCCTTTACCGTCCCTCTTCGTGTAAAGGGGGGTCACCGATTTATAACCATGTCCTTTAGGGTCACTCTCCGTGTAAAGGGGGGTCACCAATTTATAACCGTGTCCTTTACCATTCCTCTCTATGCAAAGGGAGTCACCGATTTATAACCATGTCCTTTACCGTCCCTCTTCGTGTAAAGGGGGGTCACCAATTTATAGCCATGTTCTTTACCGTCCCTCTCCGTGTAAAGGAAGTCACCTATTTATAACCATGTCCTTTATCGCCTCTCTCCGTGTGAAGGGAGTCACCGATTTATAACCATGACCTTTACCGTCCCTCCCTGTGCAAAGGGAGTCACCGATTTATAACCATGTCCTTTACCGTTCCTCTTCGTGTAAAGGGGGGGGGGAAGTCACCGATTTATAACCATGTCCTTTACCGTCCCTCTCTGTGCAAAGGGAGTCACCGATTTATAACCATGTCCTTTACCGTCCCTCTCCGTGTAAAGGGAGTCACCGATTTATAACCATGTCCTTTAGGGTCCCTCTCCGTGTAAAGGGGGTCACCGATTTATAACCGTGTCCTTTACCATTCCCCTCTATGCAAAGGGAGTCATCGATTTATAACCATGTCCTTTTCCGTCCCTCTTCGTGTAAAGAGGGGTCACCGATTTATAACCATGTCCTTTAGGGTCACTCTCCGTGTAAAGGGGGGTCACCAATTTATAACCATGTCCTTTACCGTCCCTCTCCGTGTAAAGGAAGTCACCTATTTATAACCATGTCCTTTATCGCCTCTC